AATGTCTGACTGACCCTTCCAGAGTACATTATTCACTGTTACCTCAGACACACAAGTGGCAATGGAGTGTTCTAGCCCTAATCCCACAGTGACAATCCTCTTAAGCAATCCACTCAGAACTGTTCTCCTGATCCAGTTCTCCCACCTGGGCTGTGTGGTGATAAGCCAGGGGGCTGTGATGATGAATTGACTCATCTGAGGTTTCTCCACGGATCCAAATCACGGCATGACAGATTCCTGAGGTCGGGAGGCTGCAGCTTCATAAAACATGGCCAACATCTCTGCCAAAAGGCCAAATCCTGCTGTCCTGCTCAGACAACGGCAAAGGAAAATAAATGCAATGGCTAATGCCTGGAAGAGTGCGTTACCCTGGGTTCAGAGGAGAGTTGCTGCTCTTTTTCTGCTGGGACTAGAGCAGAGCTGAGCTGACACTGCAGCTTCAGAGGCTGCTGGTATTTCCTTTGAGTCATCCTGGTAAAGGGACTGATAAAGCTGGGCCAAGGCTCTGTGCCACACGTGTGCCTTGCTGCCTGTTTGGGAGTGCAGATGTCCCCACTGCAGTGCTACTGGGAGCCAGCCGGGCACGAGTCAAGGCTGGAGCCTCATCCCTCCTTCCTGTTTTTGCAACTGTGCTTCTGTGTGCATTGGGTCCTCTTGGAAAAGCTTCGTACAAGAGGTTATGCCAACAGGAGCTGCCTGAAGGAACAGGTCTCACACAGGAACAGGGGCAAGGATATTCCAAGCCCCCACATCCCAAAGCTTTCCAAACTTTCTCAAGCTTCTTCTCAATGCTCCATGTTTCAAGACCAGGTCTCATCAGAGACCTCCTGTTTTTGACCTCCTTGAACTGTGGGAGGCTAAGCATACCCTGCTCATATCTTGGTCTCATCAAAACAGCTCTGAGTGCCACATGTGGATGTCTTCCATCAGCACAGGCACTGCCTCTGCTCCAGGTGCCTGCAGTACGCTAAGCACACAAAGGTCTGCTGCCTGGCAAATTCACCTTTAAGGACTTTTAAAAGACTGTTTAGTGTCCAGTGTCTCAGTAAGCCAGCATGTGCATGCAGAGCACCTTGCTGAAGTTTTCAAGTTTCATTTATGTCCCTAAATCATGCCCCAATTTCGGTGGCATTTAGTCATTTTTATAGTAAGAAACGTGCTGCATACTTTGATAAATGCAGTGAGGATGAGTCCATGACATCACTTTTTAACAGTGGGTTAACCAGAAGAGATAGAGGGATGCTGGAAGAGCAGCAGCTTCCCAGGGGCTCACGGGATGGGGTCATTTCTATCAGTCCCCTCCAACTCACCCTGTGATTCCCCAAAGATCTTCCAAGACAAACAAAATCCTGCTTGCTGAGCCTTTCTCAACCCTCTGACATGAGAACAGTCTTTAGCACAGACAAATTCCTCAAAGCCATTCGTAGAAACTGCTGTCTAATGACACCCTGCTGCCGGCTCCTTACAGATTACTTCAAGATGCTGAGATCCCACCTGTCCTTTCCAATCGGTTTTACTTAGGATGCTTACTAGAGACGAGCAAAATAAATGTAAACTGATGCAAGCTGATGCACACTGCTGAGGAACATTGCTTATTATATAAAGGTCAGCTGCTGTCAAACTGCTGCTGAACTCCAGGGGTTTCTTTTTTTTCTGCACTCCTGGAAATGAGCTGAAAGCACAGGGCGGCATCAGGTGGGAGAGCTGTGGGTGCAGTGTGGGGCTGGAGCTGCACAACAGCCCTGAGTGCTCAGTGTGTGGCTGGGGAAGCTCAGCACCTGCTTGGCAGTAGGATGAAACCTCCTTTACGTTTCTTTAAGGGTGTGCCCAGGACGTTTAGGTAATATGGCTCGAAGGTTCTGTTCTGCTATTGATTTCCTATGTGGCCCTGAGCAACTCACTTAACCTTTCCATAGTACAATTTCTCTTCGATCAAAAAGAGAGCAATGATGCTTTTTCGCTGCTTCTGCGGGGATCAGTGGGGACAAGGACCTTAAGAGGTGACTTTGGTTCTCAGGGTGTTTCAAGTCATGCCAAACATTTCATTTGGTGCCAAGCAGAGATAGAACTTTATGCTTGCTATGGAGAGGTCACCACAAAACTATGTATCATTTCAAACACTGCCAGAAATTCTCTGTGTATTTATTTCCGCAGCGAGGGGCTCTGTTTACGTCAGCATGTACAAATTTGAAAGAATCTTCAGACATGCTGCACAAGGCTGGGAAGCTTGCAGCAGAGTCCTGGGATGAGGCTGACACTGCCCAGTGTCCTGGCTAAGTGAGCTGTACGAACCCTGAGGTTTTCTGCACGTTCAAACCGTATCCAGACCGCTTAGAATGTTCAAAACCTAGGAGATATGGTAACAGGCACTGTGCTGATGACGATCTCCTAGCATCAATGGAACATCCATTCAGTACAAGAGTTTGTCATGTATTCCCAGATGTCAGCCTTCAACCAAAGAAAAAGAAAAAATCACAGAATCACATCTCAGGAGGAAGAATGTCCTCTGAGGACACTTGAGGAAGGATATTAAAGAATGACTATATAGCTGAACAAGCTTCTACATCCATAGATGCTATGAAAACTTATTTTGTGTGCACTGCATGCCTGAAATGGGGAAACAATCTTGTTTCCATTTCCAGTACCTTCAATACGGGCTTTGGACAGAGGAGATCAGTTCTCATACTCTTCATCTAGTTGTAAGTCAGACACTCTTAACATAACCAAGCATCTACAGTGCAGCAGTTCTTAATCTTGCTTTGACAAGTAGGACAACAAACCTACTTTTGCCATATAGAGTAGACCTTACCTTAGTGCTCCGGTTTTAGCTTTACTGTGCTTTGTTTCTAAAGCAGGAAGTACCCAATTTTATACATCTATCTTTCATAAAATGAAGCATCGTTCCTGGAAATCAGAATCCATCCAGTTTTGCTTTTACTGCTACAAACAAGAAGTTATATCAGCCCTACCGTAGCTCACTTTTTCTTCTTTAAGTGCTTTCAATTCTCCAGGAGCATTAGGTGAGGATTTGAGAAGTGCTTTCCTTGCATTTTGCAAAACAAAAGTTAAAATGCAAGAAGCAATTTCTCAATACAATACAAAGCCACAAGTTCATTTCAGACCTTGCAAATATAAAGTTTTATCACATGCAAAATATAGATTTCATCCTGCTTTCTTAATAAAACAGTTTTGGACTGTGAGCTTTAATACCCTATATGGTCAGAAATGATGATAATTCATTACTAGGAGCACTGCCAGATAATGTCCTAATCATTCCTCTGTTGTAGCATTCTTTGTCCCTTGAAGATGGAGTTACAGTGCGGAAATCCAAAAGAATGAGTTGATTTTCAGTCCCTTTATCCTGAGGATTTTAGGAGTTTCAAATCCAGATCAGAATTGCACTGTAGGGCCAGGTTGAGCTCTGCTGTGATGTGGAGAGCATAACAGAGGACAACCAGGAGGTCTGTGACAAGAAGCTGTGCTAGGATCCAACACAGAATAACCTTTGCGGAGGCAGAGAGGTCACAACGTTCATACCAAGAATATGAGCCATGAAACAAGCGACCAGAAACCTGAACAGCTCATTATGTTAGGTGTTGACTGGGCATTAATTAATTAACCCAATTATTAGACAACCCCAGCTTGTCAACACTGCAAAAGATTACCTCATGCTACATATTCGTGCTTCATCTCCTGCCGCTGCTTCCGCTGCTGACATCTGCCTTGGCTTAAAGCCCTGGAGAAGAAGCAGACCAATGTTGAGATGAGGGACCAGTGCAGGTGCTGCTCCTTCCTGGTGCAGAGGCGCCGCTCTGAGCACTGCAATGTGATGTACCCAAACACAGCACTGCAGCCCGGCTGCATTGCTTCTGTGCGAGTTCTGCACCTCTTTCAGAGAATTTCATGTCAGTCATGCCCTCAATTTTGGTTTCCCTCTTCAAATCACTGTACAGGAACTCTACATTAACAAGACTAGTGCTCACCCTTGGATGGATCCCTCATTTGCCCTAAACTTGTTTCTTTGGATTCCAGATCCTGACTACTCCAAAACCCATTAGTTCCAATAAAGACCGGTTAGAGCAGCATATCACTCTATTTTGTTCTCCTCTTTCATCCTAAACAACAAAATCAAAAGGGTTTTTAATCAATATCTGACAGCTGTGCTGAATATGGGGTGGAATGATGTGTGGGGAGCAGCAAGCAGACACTGAGGTGTTGCATGTAAATTTAAGTGCAGGCATGTATGTGCTTTGTTACCTACAGGCACTCAGGCATGGAGAATGATGAGATGGAATGGCTTTAAGTTGCACCAGAGGAGGTTCAGGTTGCATATTAGGAGGAATTTCTTCTCAGAAAGAGTGGTGATGCATTGGAATGGGCTGCCCGGGGAGGTGGTGCAGTCACTGTCCCTGGAAGTGGTCAAGAACCACGGAGATGAGGGACTGAGGGGCACGGGTAGCAGGCAGCTCCACCAGCAACATTCATCTTCATCTCTTCCTGATCCAGGCAAACCCAGTGCTGAAGAGCCTTCAGCAGAAGAACTGAACAGCCTTCACATCTGCATGTCTGCCCATTATCTGTATCCTTTCCTTGCTGCACCAGACCTTAGTCCCAGCTCACAACCATGCTTTTACAAAGGACACTGACCCACTCAATTCAACCCTTGAAAGATCTACAGTGCCGCCACGCCAAAAAAAAATAAAAACAATATATGAAAAGCAGATTGAAAACAAAAAAAAGAATCCCTTCCTAATCCTTCTTTCTTGGCAGAACTTCAAAACTCACTTTAATGCTTGAAATTAATGTGTAAGCATCTCCAGGCATCCTATTTTGCTCCTAGCCACCAGCAGGTTGATTGGGAACCAGTTTGCACTTTGCAGAGTGAGAAGCTTTGAGGTCCATGACTCGCAGCCTGAGAGAGGTGTTCAGAGCTGAGGTAGGGTGAGCTATGGATGATCCAGCCATGCAGTTGCTCCTGGATCCTTTTCTTTACTTGTTTTCCCAGAGCAGAACAAGCAACCACCCTTTGTTGAACTACTGCACAAATGGGAGCTGACAGCAACATCTCAAACCACTGAGGAAGCCCAACTGCCAATAGGCCTTTGGGAAACCCATGACTTGTAATTTGCAGCAGTCACTCCATGCTCATTTCTTCTCCCTTAGGTGAAGGATCCAAAGCTAACAATGCTGTGTCCTTATCAACAGAAACATTTGTTGGGGAGGTCCAAAAGTGACTGAAACAAAGCTCAGAATCTTTGAAGTGCTTTGTCCTATTCCCAGATGAAGTATGCTTGTTTCCAGTTAAATCCTTTGAGCTTCAGCAGTGAGTGTATATATATATAGATGTGAGCAAGAAAACAGTGACGGATACAACAATAACAAAAACATAAGGCTCCTTCATTTCTTATTCCAAATCAATAAGCTATATGGCAGATGGCTAGCCATGCTTGAACTGTGCTTTTAACTCTGATAACACATAAAACACCCACTGATAGCAGAGACACGACGCTCCAGAGAGGAGCCAACACATTATCAATGAAAAACAGCAGATCTGGATCCACAGGCAACTCAGATAACAAATTCAGGAGTATTCCATTAGTAGGATGGAGGGAACTTGGAAGGATGCATCAAGTACATACAGATTCTTTCACTTGCTAGAGAATGGCATTTGCAATCCAAGGAGGCACCTTCCTCACCTTTGCACAAGAATCTAGAATCAACCTTGTGTTTGCTTTCAGATGCAGAAGATTGGGGGTTATTGTAGCTCTGGATGGATTTCTGCTTGAAAAATACAGGCAGAAGCTGAAGGCTGGGATAGCAAGAAGGCTGTGAGAGCTGCCTGCAGGCTGGGGATGGGTGGGAAGATGGTACCATGGGTCCCAGCTGAGATGGACTGACAGAGCTCTTCTTTAAATCTATGATGAAATGACCTCCAAACTGTAGAAATCCCCAAGTGGACCTAATCCCAAAAGAGCTCCAGGACTGTCCTCTGAGCTCCCAGTATCGCCTTCAGGTGCAAGAAATCTGGCTCCTGCAGTAGAAGAGAGCTCAGAGTGCTCTGTACCCAGGAAGAGTTTCCTGACTGAGTTTTCTCCTCTCTGCATGAACAACATTTACCACTTAGGAAAGAGACCCACAGCAATTTTTAAAGAGCACTGCAGACCCACAAGTGTTTTACTGGCCCCTGGAGATCAGCAGCAGCTGGAACAGAGCTGAAAGGCAGGAAGCAATTGGCCCTGTTATTGAGGGAAGGGAATTTTCATTTAACAGGGCAGCAGTGCTGGGTGTGGGGGGGTTCTAAGCAAGACCTCGGGTCTTGCTGCAGCCACAGTCTTTCCACAGCAGTGGCAGTGCCCAGGGCCCCAGGCAGCTCAGTGACACCGGCAGATGGGGCAGAGGTGGGAAGGTGCACAACCACTGCTGCTGTGCTGCCAACCAGTGCTGTGCCCCAGGGCTGAGTGCCCCTTTGGGAACACTGCATGGGTCATCGAGCGTTCAAGGGAAGGTGCTCTCCTCAGGATCATTAGGAGATCAGGAAAAGCCAGAACATGTTCCTAGAAGGGAGCTTTCAGGACTGCCAGGATTCTACCTGCAGGATGGATGGCCCCGGTGCCCTCCAGCCTGTGTGCGGTCTGTTGCTGCCCTGGCTGCTGATGCCGGCTCTGAAGTCACCATCCGGAGCAGGAAGCTGGGGATTAGCAGGAACATTTTTCTGTCAAGGGGATAATCACAGGCACATGGCACAGATCAGATAGCCCTCCTGCAAGCCAGAGCTCCTAATGACGGTGTTTCCCCGGTTGCTGTAGAAGGGCTCTTAACGAAGTTCCTGCCCTATTCCATTTCCCAGCACTGAGCACGATGGGCCTCTTCTCCTGAAATCTCCCAAGTCTCTGAGCCCTGTGGGGCTCTTCCATCCATGTCCACGCTGACCTGCCCCAGCCCCATATGAAGTGAATGGCCCTGCTCTGCTCCTCTTCGGGTTGGCTCTTTAATTAGTATTTATGTAATACTAAGTAATAATAAGCTCGTTCTTCACAAAGAAATAAGGACAACACTAAGCAGCCACCTGCTTTTCATTTTGCTCAGTAAATATATCAGCATAAAGTAGGTGAGTCAAAGATTTTGCAGTAGAGATGCAGAAGACACTGCCTGTAGAGAGAAAACCATCTGAAGGTGGTTGGAGGTCACATGGCAGCATTATATTTGTGAGTCTAATCTATGGAAAGTACAATTTTAAACCTTACTCCAGGAATGTGCCTACATTTAAAGGAATCCAGATCTCTGGGGCTCTGCCATAATAAACTCAGATGCGTAGGAGAACATCCTGAAGATAGGCATGGGTGAGGTGGTACTTACAGCTCAGTAAGGGCACGGCAGAGCAGTTTCTATGCTCAGTGCACATATGCCTCCCATTTGCCTCTTTGAGGGGTTCAACAAGGCACCTCTTTCTTGACATGGGCTCCCAGGTGAGTGAACTTTGCTTTAGTGGCATCCAAGCATGAAAGAGATAAAGTTTTAATTAAGGAGGGAAAAAAAAAAAAAAAAAGGAAAAGATAAAGGCTACAGGAGCTGTTAAAGACAATACAAACAGAATTAAAAGAGAATTGCAAAGAGAACGCAGGCCTGTAAGGTAATGGAGGTTGTGCTAAGGGACATGGTTTAATGGGGAAATATTGGTGGTAGGTGGATAGTCAGGCATGAAGATCTTGGAGGTTTTTGCCAACCCTGGTGATTCTGCAGTTCTATAATTCTATGCCAGAATTCTCCTCTCCCTGGCTGGTGGGAGCTGGGTCTCACAGCACTGGTCCAGACACCTCCATCCCTCTGCCCACAGTGAAGCTCCTGTGAACCAGGGTCTGCTGCTTCTCCCACAAAAGCTGCTGACCTCACTCATAATGATAATAATAAACACAGACTGCAAGGGCTGTTTGGTTAATGAGCTTCAAATTCTTGGGTGAAAAGCAAGGTTTGGTGGCTTGGCTGCAAAGTGAGTGATGGAGCCCAGCCCCGTGACCTCCTGGTCCCACACTAGGGCTGGGAGAGAAGGCTGTTTTGCTTGGCACCAGGCATCAGAACTGCTGCCCTGTATGCTCTGCACTGCATTACCTGCTGCAGTGCTCCATCCTCACCCACCTTAACTGGGAAATGCAGCTGCAGAGGTCACCTGCTAGCAGCTGGATGGATGAGGGTGCTGGGTTATTTCATGTTAGTTTGGTTTATTTAAAGCCCCCATAATTACTTTTCACACAGCTATATTCATTGTTGTTTATTTTGGACATCAAGCAGGATTTTCCCCTTTCAAAACTGCACCCACTCAAACTAGACAGCTGCCTGAACTAATGCAACAGGAACGAACTGAGGTTTCCAAGGGAAGCGAACATTTCCATCTTATCCACATCTATCAACAATAGTCACCCTAAAATTCCAAACCTGGAAAGGGACAAAGATTTTTGTGGATGAAAAACAATTATGCTACTGAGGACAGCTATAGTTGGTACAGCTGATGGATGTGGAAGCACCAGGTCTCCTCTGCACTGCTGCTTCCCCAGAGTTCATAGAACAGTTTGAGTTGGTAGGGGTATTTAAAAGCCATCTGGTCCAACCCCCCTGTAACAGAGACACCCACAGCTCCATCAGTGCTCAGGGCCCCTCCAGCCTGACCTCAGGTGTCTGCATGGATGGAGCACTGCCATCTCTCTGGGAAATCTGTACAGTGCCTCACCTCCCTTATCATAAAAACCTATCTAAATCTAAATCTCCCCCATTTAGTTTGGAACCATCTCCCCTCGTCCTATCACAATAGACCTTGCTAAAGAGTCTATCTCTTCCTGAAAGGCTGCTCTCTGGTCTGCCAGAGCCTTCTCTTCTCCAGGCTGAACAGCCCAGGGCTACTAGAAGCAATGTGGATAGAATCATGGGAGCCTGGAGGAAATCCTCTGCTCACCCCAAGCTCCCTCCATGGCATTTTTGCCTTCCTTCTCTCTAGTCCTCATACAGGACCTCTACTACCATCCAGCATTCTGGGTCAGCGTGCTCTCTCCATTGCACCACCTGGGATACCTCCCCTTGTGTTCCACTCCCACCAGAGGCTTACACAAATGATTATGAAACCAAATGACTTTGACCTTTGAAGTAAGGAATCAGCGCCTGGGCAGAGCCCGATTTAAGGCAGAACTATTTACAGACACACCAGGAGCACTGCATTACATTTCTGTTATTCTGGGAGGGAGCAAGGAGCCAGCGCACATCACGCTCAATTCATACACTGAGATCTTCATCGCAACTCCCAGCTCACCTGCCCCAGCCTTATGCCATGCCCCACAGCATCTCACTGCCATGCACCAGCCAGAGAGGTTTTCTGGAAAAAAACAAACACTTACAGAACTGGATTGGAACTTATCAAACCTCTCTGTGTTGCCGATTGAACTCACACCCCTTTTTATGTTGAGTGTTCTGCTGAGAGCTGGTAGAAGGGGTGAATTTGAGTTTGCCAGGGCTAATTTTAGAAAGAGAAGCTTTGCACCATTTCTCTCAGGGCTGGCTACATTAAAAAAAAAAAAAAAAAAAAGTCAACCACAGATTAAAATAATTCAATTACCATACTACAGCAAATAAAAACATTAGCCAAAGATATAATCTCACATGCTTTTAAAATACACTAACACACAAACACCATTCACAGATAGCATCTCCTAGATGAATGCCACACACAATGGTCTATCTAAAAGCAATTACTTACATTGTTTAAGGAGTGTTTGTTCTGGCATTCCAAAGTGGGCTGGGGTGGGCAAAGAGACTGGGTGGTTGCGGGACATGGTGCCTTTCACTTTCATCTGCTGCTCAGAATTCAGCCTGAGATCATCAGGGAGCAGAAACCACAGTAGGATTAGAAGTGATGGCCTTAAGTTGTGTGAGGGGAAGTTTGGGTTGGATATTAGGGGAAAAAAAGAAGTCTTTGAAAGACCAGTCAGACATTGGCACAACTGCCCAGGGAGGTGGTGGGTCACCGCCCCTGGAGGTGCTCAAGAACTGTGGAGATGCAGCACTGAAGGATGCGGTCAGTGAGCATGGGTTGGTGGTTGGGCCTGGTGACCTTAGAGGTCTCTTCCAACCTTAATGATTCTGTGATTCTATGGATGCTAGGCAGGATATGAGATGTGGGCTGGGAACATGCTGCTAACTCCCCCCAGAGCTAAGGGATAGGTTGAACAGGGTTCACATCACATGCTGGGAGCAGGTTGAGGTAAAGAGACAAGAGATGTGACTGTCTTCTTAGTGCTTACTGCCCATCTCATTGCTAGAAAACTGTGTACGTTTGTTGGTGGTTGTAATGTGATGAGAAGCACAGCAATGATAGCAGAGCAGCAAGGCTCCAGGCTACAGCAAGTAAGAAATTGCCAAAATGCAACAGCTGTGGGCAAAGAATTAAAGCAAAGAAGCTGCTTACCTTTGGAAGACCTCAAGCGCGTGGAGATCTCCAGCAAGATGCCCTCAGCTCCACTGCCAACCCTTAAATGAGGTCTGGGAAGAGGTGGATCCTGGCTCCATCCCTTCTGGTCATTCAGCTGCATTGCATGCACCTGAGCTCCACTGGATTGGCCCTGCCTTCCCACCAGGTGCTCAATCACTGCTTCAGGCCATGACTTAGCATTTCCACCACATTGGTGATCAGCAAAATAAGTATCTTTGTGTGTTCTGGAGATGTTTTTGTGCAAGGGTCTGAGTGTGATCATTTCAAGCCAATGCTTTCACTTCCAAGGGATTTCCATGTCCCTGGACCTTGCATAACACAACTACTGCCTTTCTTTCAGGATGTGGATTTTCTTCAACGCTGAGAGCAAAACTCTACGACAGTTCCCACTGTAATGTCACAGCCTCTATGAAGCAGGAAGACAGAGGCTCTGGTCAGACTGAGGTGTAACAGAGAAATGATACAAGCCTGGGCTTACCCTAAACCACTTCTGCACTGTGATTTTCCTTGTTCCAGCAAGGCACTTGGGGACCATAAAGGTTAGAATCCTTAAGAAAAAAAACCTTTTCTGCACCACTTTGTGTAGTCTGCTCTAAAAGAAACGGGCACTAGCGGCCGTGCTGCAGTACATCGACATGCTCAGACTGCAAAGCTCCTGAACAATCCCTCGAAGCTGGGGGAAGCTGCTCTGACCAGCAGCCTCACAAGCTATTTTGGGTTTGATATGCAGCAGATTTGATAAGAAAGCTCTCAGGAAAAAGCAAATTTCCTCTTGGACTCAGTAGAACTGGGCACATATTCCGGCACACACAGTTCCCTTTCCTATAAGCTTATGATGTAGCCTTCTAAAATTAGGAATTAGGGGAGAAGCCCTGAGCCCATTGCAAGAAAGGACCATTGCCCCAGGACCAGGACTCACTGGGGGTCTCTGTAGACTCTCATCGATGGGGGATAAATATGAGAAGAAATAGAGTCCTGATAACAGCCTTTTATCTCTATTACTCCGTTTCCGCTGTTGCCCTCACATTATGTTGCTCCACAGCCTGTATTCACCATCAGTGCTGATTTATGGACCAGCAGTTCAGACTTTAGCCCAGAGACAATGAATCTCCAGAGCTCGGCTGTTCCATGTGCCATGCTCCATATTAAGCCCTTGGTTTTCACTGGGATCATTTCTTATATTCAGCCATTTCCTTTCCCTTTGGTCTAGACTTTAAAATCAGGACAAGAACACAAGAACTGTGAATGCCAAGGCCATCAGATGTTACACACGAAGGCAGTAGGGAGGCTGCTGTGTATCTGCTGCTGTGCCAGGTGCTTTGTGCCATCCCTGAGCCCCAGCGCTGCAGGCAGTTCCTCTGCTGCTCCTGCCCCTGTGCAGTGCAGGGGTGGGTGTTATCATTCAAGCCCTAATTCCTAATCACGCTTGTTCCTGACTAGCAGAAAGGAGGTGTTACTGGAGCTGTGACTCAGAGGTGGCTCCCCCTCACGGTGTGACAAGTGGAGAGGAAGAGGAATAGGAGCCAGGAAGCCGCCACGAAGAACCTGCCAAAAGCTCGCTGCCTCTGCCAAGCTGCTGTCTGAGCAGGGGGATTAGGAAAGCCAGCAGCCCCTAGAGACCCAGAGTAATGTAAGCAACCCTCACACATGTACACATGGCCACCTGCTTCCATCGGGGGGCTTCCTCCTTCCCAGCCCACGATAAGCACCTGGGGATCGGGCCAAGGGAGCATCCCTTGTCACAGCCCTAAAGAAGATGTGTGTACCTGAAAGCATGGCTGTTCGTTTCCACTTGTGTCACATGGGCTGGTAAAAGTGATTACCTCTTTCTCCCAGCCCTGCCTCTCTCATTGATCCCACTGGCTGCTCTTCAAATGTCACCCTGCAAGGAAGGAGCACACATCCAATTGTAAAAGGAAAAGATTAATGGGATGACAAAGCAGCAGGGTCAGTGTGGGGATGTACTACATGAAACAAACAGGGTGCACCTGGCTGTGACACCCTGCAAGCTGAGGTCCCAGAAGGAGGCATTGTGGGGTGGGCAGAGCCCCCCAGTGCTATGGGCAGTGCAAGAAATGCAAACCTAACCCTCCTCCCAACCTATACTCTGAAGTTTAGTATTGTTTCTATTTGAAAAGAAAGCCTGTAGCTACTCAAACGCACAAGTAAAAGCAGGCACACCACAAAAATAACCCAGACTTTGGGTGATGACATTTATGTGGGGCAAAATCCTGCCTTTAATTTGAAGTTGTGTTTGCTGCTGCAGTGTGAGTCACGGCTGCACAGCGGGGGCTGAAGGCAGCCCGGGCTGAGGGCGCACCACAGCACACTCCATGCAGGTGAGCAGATGGCCAAAGCAAGCAGAGAGCTGCCAAACTGAGGAAGAAAATTCAGCCCTGCTACCTCCACCATGCCCCACAAAGCATGCGAGGCCCAAGCTGCTGTGATTATAACATAGAAAAAGCCAAAATATTGAGGTAGAAGCTGGGCGTGCTGAGTTCTGCATCCCATGCCATGGTGCTGATACAGAAGGATGGAGGGTCGTTACCAGGACGTGCAGGACAAACAGACAGCTCTGATGTGTTATGCATGTGTTATGAAGCACAGACCTGAGCTCTGACCCTCCCAGACTCTGTGTTTTCTCCTAAGCTCCCAAAGCTGCCCCTCCTCCTTTCAAGACAACACTTCTTGCAAGGATGAACATGACATGTCTGTCGTAACAAGAAACCTGATGCTTTTTGAAAGTTGTGATTTAGTGTCACAGCATTTCCTGATGTTAGCCTTACAGGAAGCAGCACAGCAAACTTGCCAGTTACTACCATAAGCTTACCTTGATCATTTCCAGAGTTTTCGGACCAAGTCTTTAAAAAGAGCATTGGACAGCAAGCTGAGCATGACGTGTAGTTCCCACAACCACCACTTCTCCTTCCTGCTCTTCTCTCCCAACACTGCGTCTGATCCACCTGCACTTTCCCGGCAGTTTCCTGCTGTGTTTTCCCCATGAGGTGCATGCACTGTGCATGCACAGGAGCCAGGGATGGGTACTGCAGCCTGCAGGTGCTAAGTGAGCCTTCAAGTATGGAACAGATCCCCACCTGGTGTAAAAGTCTGTGAAAGCCAATGGGATGCTGCAGCCTTCCACCAGCTGGTTGCAGTCATATGTTGAATGGATCGTATGGACCTCTTTATTTCAACGACGGGACACTGAAAAGTCGTGGTAATTAACCAAGGTCATTAGTGCTCCCCTGCACTCTTGGCTGCCCCACATGTCCCTCCTTTCCAAAGCCGCTCGTTACAGCAGAGCCCCTGAGCCAGAAGCACGCACCACTGGAGCTGCCGTTCATCGCGTTTCCCGATCCCAGCTCCTCGCTCAGCCCTTTGTTAACCCACAAATCTCCCCCTGCGTGCAGCCGCTCCTCTATTAACCGCGCGGGCAGAGCGGCTGCGGGCACCCCCAGCTCACGCGCGGTGCCACCTGCGGGACAACAGCACGAGGCGTCGCGGCCCTTCCATGCACAGCAACGCGCAGACGTGGCGTTCCGGCGACAGCGTTCTCTCTCATGACATTGAAGTTTGTAGGATTCCTCAGCCCTTATTTAGGATATTTGTCTGCTTTGGTGCCAGAGAGCAGCGCAGCAGCCACACAACCCCGTGCCCCGCACTGCCCGAGGGTGTCAGGGGGCGAATGGGGCGTGGGGGGTGGGAAGTTTGGGAACCCCGGGGCAGGGCGTAGGGACACCCCGAGAAGGGGAACACACGCGGGGACACCGGGAGGCGGGGAGCACGCGGGGGCGGGGGTTCGCGGCGCGGGGACAGAGACGGACCGCCGCGTTCCCAGCTGGAGCGCGGAGCGGCGACACGCGTGGGGCGGCTGCCGGGCCGGGGGGGCACGCGGGGGGGTGCGAGGTGCGCGCGAGGCGCGGCGCGGGCTGCCATTGGCCGTGCCGGGCTGATGTCACGGCGGGTGTTGCTATAAGCTCGGCGGCGCCGAACGGGCTGGGGACAGTCGGGCGGGTGAGCCGCCGCGGGACGGGGTTGGACGGGTGAGGAGCGAGCGAACTGGAGCGGAGCGCAGCGCACACAGCCCCGCACGGCGGGAGCCCCCGCGGCCAGCCCGCCCGCACCTGCCGTCCCCTATGCGCGGAGCCCGGCGCAGCGCCACGACGCCGGAACGCTGAGCGCAGCCCCCGCTGCCTGCCCGGGGACCTGGCTGGGGGGCCATGGGGGTGGCGGGCACCGAGCTGCCTGGCGGCAACGTCAGCACCAACCAGAGCACCGCAGACCCCACGGTGTCGCGGGACGTGTGGGTGGTGGGCATGGGGATCCTCATGTCGCTGATCGTGCTGGTCATCGTCTTCGGCAACGTGTTGGTGATCACCGCCATCGCCCGTTTCCAGCGCCTGCAGACGGTCACCAACTATTTCATCACCTCGCTGGCGTGCGCCGACCTGGTGATGGGCCTGGGCGTGGTGCCTTTTGGTGCCTGCCACATCATCATGGAGATGTGGAAGTTTGGGAACTTCTGGTGCGAGTTCTGGACCTCTCTGGACGTGCTTTGCGTCACGGCCAGCATCGAGACCCTCTGCGTCATCGCTGTGGACCGATACTTTGCCATCACCTCCCCGTTCAAGTACCAGAGCCTGCTGACCAAGAGCAAGGCACGTGTGGTCATCCTGGTGGTGTGGGCGATCTCGGCCCTCACCTCCTTCCTGCCCATCCAGATGCATTGGTACCGGGCAGACCGTGACGAGGCCATCCTCTGCTATGAGAAGGACACGTGCTGTGACTTCTTCACCAACCAAGCCTATGCCATTGCCTCCTCCATCATTTCCTTCTACCTGCCGCTTGTGGTCATGGTATTTGTGTACGCCAGGGTCTTCCAGGTGGCCAAGAAGCAGCTGCAGAAGATAGACCGGAGTGAGGGGAGGTTTCACATCCAGAACAAGGAACAGGACCAGAACGGGAAAGCCGGGCACCGCCGTTCCTCCAAGTTCTTCCTGAAGGAACACAAAGCCCTGAAGACCCTGGGCATCATCATGGGCACCTTCACACTGTGCTGGCTGCCCTTCTTCATCGTCAACATCGTGCACGTCATCCAGGACGACATCATCCCCAAGTACGTGTACATTCTCTTGAACTGGCTGGGCTACGTCAACTCTGCCTTCAACCCCCTGATCTACTGCCGGAGCCCGGACTTCAGGTACGCCTTCCAGGAGCTCCTGTGCCTCCGCAGGTCTGCTCTGAAGATGTATGCCAATGGCTACTCAAACAGCAACGGCAGGAGTGACTACAACGAGGAGGACAACGGCTACCCCCTGGCACCGGATAAAGCCAGTGAGCTGCTCTGCGAGGAGGGCTCCTTCCCTCACCCCGAGGACTTTTTGCACTGCAAAGGTACTGTGCCTAGCGGGTAGCTCTGAGACGCGATGGGCTCTGGCGTGGCACACTGCTCCTAACGATGAGCCTTTCTCTATGGAAATACAAAAGCCTGATAGTTAGAACGATCCTCTCCTAAAGCACACCTAAACCCCAATGGCTGCAAGAAACCTAAAACTCAGCAAACCTCCTGCAAACAGGTGAAAGGCAGCCCCGGGTGGCTCGGGTGGGCTGGCTGCTTGCAGGGGTTAGGAATTTAAGTGCACGACCTTAGGTCCCGTGTGCCGGGGGGAGTGCTGGGGGGGGGATGGTATTTTAAGGCTGTGCAGAAAGCTCGTCCCAGGAAGAACTTCCTGGCTGTGGCCGGTGTTGAACTACCTCATGAGCTCGGTGCTGGCGGCTGCTGCGGGAGCGCCGTGCTCCTCTGTCTGTGCAGCACCTGCCCCAAAATTCCCCCGAGGGATGCTTAGAGCTCGGTAGGCTGTATCTGATCCTGTTGCTGTCAGTGGGAAAGTTTAAACAACGCCCGGAAAACAAAACAAAACAAACAAACAAAAAATCCAAAAACAAACAAACAGAAAAAAAGACCACAACAGCCACGAATGCGTCTTTTGTCAAGTGCTATAGGACTTTCCGCTGAAATAAGGATAGAAATAAACGGAGTCTTTGCCCAGAATGTGACACTGTGACTGTGGGACTCAGGAATGTGGTACTGGGAAGCCGGGCGATACGCTGCTGCAGTCGCAGCCCGTCCTTCTGTCGAGACCGCAGCCGAAGCTCTGTGGCCGCCCGGTTTGTTTAAGTTCGGTTCCCAGCTGGCAGCCCGAGGAGGTGGGCAGGGAGGGTTTTATTTTCTGTCGCTGAGGGCTGACAGTCCGGCAGCGCAGCCCTGGCCGCGGGACGGCTCTAGGCTCGTTGGTTGGTTTGTTTGTGAAGGGTTTTTTCCCTCCCTTGCAGCAGGTTTGCATTGCGTTCCCGCAGCACTTGGCGGCGGGCGCACGGTCTGTCACGGCGGCAGACGCGGGCGGGCAGGTGGGGACGGACGCACGGACGGACGGACGGAGGGGTGGCCGTGCTGCTCGGCGCTGCTCGGAGCCCTCGCTGGAAGAAAGCAGCGATCGCGGGGCGGAAATGGAGCTCCCCCCACGCTTTCTTCCGTAGCTGCAATTTGAAAGAGGGGAGCCGAGGAGGATGTGAAAGTGCGGTGTGTTCAGAAGCACGTGGGAAAGATGGGGGAGGGACGGCCCCGCGCCCCGTGGGAGCTCTTCTCCCTGCCTGCACTCGGAGGGTTTTGTTGGCACCGTTGCTAGGAGGCGGCTCGCACCCACCTGGGCTGCTCTGTGGGGAGGAGGTTCTGCCTGCCCGCAGCTCCCGCAGCCCCTTCACCGCGGCTCCTTTTGCTGCCCTCGCGGTTACGGCCAGGGCGCGCTGGTCGGGATCAGCTCGTAAGGACAGTGCTGGTGCTGCAAGGTTCAGGGCGGCTGCAGACTCATCCTTGAGCTCGCAGCATTCCACGTGATAAAGCCGCACCCGGTTTTGTGGGGAAGGGTTTGTAAATCCTCGTGCTCCCTTCTGCCTTCCCCCAGGTATCCCAATTCAGTCTGGGAGGACAGGCAGCCCTTAGCCCTGTCCTAGCCCTGAGCTGGGTGCTGGCTCGGCTCTGTTTGCAGCCTCTGCAGCTTGGTGCGTGCTACAGAGCAGCAGAGAATGTGTCCAGCAGAGCTCTGTGTCACTGCCAGCTTTGCTGCCCGTGCCCATCCACACCTTCCTTGGTGCTGTCAGCAGTGCCCGAGCACTCCCCAGGTCATTGGGTTCAGCTTTTATATTACAGCATGAACAAACGAGAAGGGTGTGATGGCTCAGAGCGGTGTGTGGCTGCCGGGAGCAGGAGGCCAGGTTGAAAAAACATTTTCTCCTCAGATAAACATTAACAGGCTGTCCTGGCAGGGGAGACCTGGTGTGGGGTCAGGTGCTTTCAGCTTCCTACTGTAAAGGGCTGAAAGGCAAGGGGCCCTGTGCTGTAGGGCTGGTGTCAGTGCCCCATGTAGGTTAGAGATGCACCGCATTGGAGATGCACTTCAGCTCAGTATGGGTCCTGATTATCACAAAGCAAGAAGTGAAAATTAGCCTCTTGGTTGAAGCGATTGATTTTTACTGTGCCATTAATCCTGCCTAGGCTGGTGTTAGCAGGAGTGCGAGGTGAGGGGGTGTCCCATGGTGATGGCTCTTGGTGGAGGGGCAGGAGAAATCCAGCATCCACATCTTATTTGCTGTGTGCATTTTTTATTATTATTAACTACTATTTGCATTTCAACAGCATGTGCTGTGGATGAGGATTTTATTGTCCAAATAATCGCTCTGCTTGCTTGGCTGGCTGTACTCATACTTCAGATGTTGGTGCCGTATGCAGCCAGAGCTGAGCCATGAGCAATGGGTGACTGCAGCACTGCTGCAGTGTGCAGAGCACAGAGATGTGGAAGGGACAGGGGATGTCTGTCTGTCTGATGACCTCTGCAGTACAGTGCTAAGGTGCAGTGTTAGGAAACCTCAAGCTTACCCATGTGTGAGTGTTGAAAAGCTGATTTCTTTCCTCTAAGACACCACTAGTAAAACTGGTGAGGCTAACTGCTCAGTTCTGGAAGCAGCTGGAACTAAAAGAGATAAATACCAGAGTAGTAAAAGTTGTGTCACCAATGAAGTCAAACTTGATTAACCCTTCCTGTTTCATGAGGAAGAAAAAAAGCTGAATAAAGGAATCCCTTTGCCTATTGAAATGCATTGTAATGAAAAGAATTTAGAGATGTATGCTAGGGACTCAGAAATGGAGCATTAAGTCAGGACGCAGTAGCTGCTACAGTGATTTTAGGGTCAGGAGAAACCCAGCACGCACATTTCAGGATTAACACTAGCAGAGGGCTGGCTCAGGTTAAGTACATCTGATAAAACACAGCAGTAACTTCATTAGAGGACAAGCACTGTGATGAAATGCTGGGTTCTTATTGCAGGCTGCTTGCTATGCTGCAGCCACGATGTGCATAGAGCAAGGGCAGGATGGTGCGAGCACGAAGGGTGGGTGTGAGCTGGAGCTTGGCATGCCTGTACCTTCATGCTTTCAGTCACTTCAGCCAAGGAGGTTGTTACTGTTTTTGATGCCTGAGTTGAGATGAGAGGCATGATTGCAGCTTTTGTGCTGTCACAAAGTACCGTTCTTACTGCGGCTCCCTTCGTTATTGCTGTAGCTTCATCCCCTAAAACGGGCAGAGTATCACAAGCTGCTGCCTTATGTCAGTCCTTTGCTTCTTGGGATCAATTCTGGAGACGTTCTGCTTTCTGGGAAGCCCAGGCCTTGAAACCCAGCCTCGCTCACTGTGGCTCTGGGGAGCTGTTGGGCAGCAGATCCCCCCCCGCAGCGCCAATGTGTTTGTCTGGGTGTCACTGATGCACAGTGTGCCCCTCTGTGTATCTCTGTGGGGGCTGGCCCAGAGCCTGTGGCTATTTCTTTGGAGCCCCGGTTAAAGACAGTGATGAGCAGTGGGTACAGCAGGGAGGACAGCAGAGACTGAAGTTACCAAACCCTCCTGAATGCCTGACAGCAGGCCAAGGCTCAGCGCGGAGAGGAGAGCCTCATGTCTCCAAGCAGCACACAGCATGCTGTGTTTTTCTAAGGGTTTGTTTATGTATTTATTTACTATAAGGAACATGTTTTTGCAGCAGAGGGAGAGCATTTACAGGGCTGGCTGCAAGCACACCACAGGCTGCAAGCTCTCCCAGCATCTCTTGCCCTTCTGATATTACAACACTGCTGCCAGCAACTCCATACACCACTCTGCCTGAGGGAAAGGCTTCTTCCGCTCTCTTCACCAGCCCTCTGCATCCAAGTGTTTGTATTCACTGGTATGATGAGCCCATTTCCCAAGAAGATGAGTTTATGAGCATGCTCATTCCTCTGGCAGGAGGGAGGACATCCTGCCTCGCACGTTCCCTTCTGTGCTGTCTATCAGCAAACACTAAGTGCCATCCCATCACAACAGCAGGGGAACAAGAGGTTCTCTGACCAACCAGCCATGGCTGTGTCCCTGAGCAGGGAGGGTGGAAATGGGGAGCTGTCACCTCAGCCACCCATGCAGGAACATCCAGCACCAGGAGCACCCTGTTCCTCAGCTGAGCCGCAGTGTTTGCTGACTTGTAAGAGCCGTGTGCCATGTTTTGAAAGCGTTAGCCCTAACCTTTCTTCTTGGGTTTGTAGAGAACATCTTGCAATTGACACACAGCCCAGGCTGTGGACACACAGTCATTTGGCAGCTGGGGTAGCTACACCCTTACGCAGACATTCCTCCAGTGACAGCTGCAGGGACACTCAAGGGAACATGTAGGTGCTGCTCGTGATATTATGGAGCAGGGCAGCAACACTGTGCCCGCTGAGAGATGTTCCTTGTGCCCGCACTGCAGCTGGTGGTAGCGGCAGAGCTGGGGCACAGCCACAGAACAAAGTGCAGCAGCTCGACTGGGAATGCAGAGCTCCTGTGGTTGTGGTAGTGCATCCCAGGACCGGGCAGAGCTGTGCAGGCTGGAACTGAGTTTACACACAGCTTGGAAGAAAGTTGTCTCGCCTGCTAAGTGTGGTGAAATCTGTCTGTAGGAGCTGGACCTAACCCTGTCCCTGAAATACATACTTGTGGAAAACAAAGTGGATTTGCTGCTTCTCCATGCATACAGTTTGAGTTTTTCTCCTGTTTTCTCACCCTATCAATGGCAGGAACCTTTTCAGTGCAATATTACCAGTGCCAGCAAGAGTGGGTTGGGAAATATTTTCTTGTTTACTGTCCTTGGTAAGGCCATTTTTGCACAAGTGCATATATATTTAGATATATGTATGTATATGTGTGTATATACCTTGATTATCTATATACAGTGATATATAGATCTGTATATAAATAAGGAAATGTAAAGGTGTTTTGTTGTGCTAGCTAGATGAAGACATGTATGTTCAAAAATTAAAGTATTTATTGCAGGTCCTA